GGTAATTTGTTGTGTTTTGGGGCATTTAATTAAATTTGTCACTAAATTTTGGGGTTTAATAAGGAGTTGCGCTAATATTGCGCAACATAAAAATTTTCAACTACCACCATTTTATTCTATAGGGTCTTGGCATTCAGAAAATATATAATGTTGGGGGGTTTTACCTCTGCCCGGACTATGACCACTTTTGTCTGATGCCTGCCTCGACCTCTGCCTGGACTCAGGGGTGTCCCGAGGCTGGGTGACACCCGGGGCGGTGTCCGAGTGATACCTGCAGGCGGCCATCTTGGTGATGGACACCGGCAGAGAGAGGAGGAGACAGCCACCCGGCGCGATAAGGTATGCCGCCGGATCCCCTCCTCTCTCCAACCTCTGCCTGGACTATGACCACTTTTGTCTGATGCTTTCCTCAACCTCTGCCAAGACTTGACCACTCTTGGTTGATGCCCGTCTCTACCTCTGCCCGGACTTTGACCTCCCTTCCATGCCTCAACCTCTACCTAGATTTTGATCACTCTTGCCTGCTTCCTGCCTCGACCTCTGGCCAGACTTTGACCACTCTTGCTTGCCAGCTGCATGGGGGATGGGGAATGCAGAACGCAAAATCAGCTACATGAGCTTTTCTGCCGCATTTGTTGCACATTCAGGACCCCACTGAACTCAATAGGCAAAGGCGGGGACGCGTGTTCCAGGAACGCCATGGTTTAAATGCGGCCTAATGGAGTCCTGGATGGCAGTAAAAACCAGACAGGGGTTCTCATCCTTCCACACTGTATTCAAAAGTAGAAAAAAACGTTTTTGGAGTTTGAAGTATAAACACCAAAGTTATGACAGCGTCACTTTCTAAAAACAAACTTTACAGATGATACATTGTTCCTCTGTGTCTGTAGAGATTTGTAGGGGTGATACATTGTTCCTCTGTATCTGTAGATATTTGTAGGGGTGATACATTGTTCCTCTGTATCTGTAGAGATTTATAGGGGTCATAGCTTGTTCCTCTGTATCTGTAGAGATTTGTAGGGGTGATACATTGTTCTTCTGTGTCTGTAGAGATTTATAGGGGTCATAGCTTGTTCCTCTGTGTCTGTAGAGATTTTGGGGGTGATACATTGTTCCTCTGTATCTGTAGATATTTTTATGTGTCTGAGAGATTTTTAGGGGTGATACATTGTTCCTCTGTGTCTGAGAGATTTTTAGGGGTGATACATTGTTCCTCTGTGTCTGTAGATATTTTAAGGGGTGATACATCGTTCCTCTGTGTCTGTAGAGATTTTTTGGGGTGATACATTGTTCCTATGTGTCTGTAGATATTTTAAGGGGTGATACATTGTTCCTCCTGTGTCTGTGGAGATTTGTTGGGGGTGATACATCCTCTCTCTGTGTCTGTACAGTGCTCTGTGGCTGAGTTCTCAGGTGGTGGTAGTTCGCTCCTCCGGCCAGCAGGGGGCAGTGCGGCAGGCGGCACTGTGTCGTGCAGTGATGGTCAGGCAGGAGGAGGCTGCACACAGATGAAGCTGGATCTGTATTTGGTGTCTCTCTGGCTCTGTGCACCGGGCAGGTATAGTGGAGGGGGAGGGGAGAGGGACACTGTGATGTAGGAGGGTCACATCTGTATATAGAATGGACTCTGTTCGGATGTATCATTGCTGTGTGTTGGCAGGAGGTTTCCCACCACTTCCATCCCTCCTAGCTGGTCATAATTCACATTTAAATCATAATATTTAAGATCCAGACTAGAATTAGGGAGCTGCTGTGTAACTACAGGTCTCAGCAAGCCCTCATTAAAGGCTGAATCCCGCCTACATTATATTTTGTTCTAGATAGAGTGGAGAAGAGTCAGCCAGGTTTATATGTGTCTGTGACCCCCCACTGAAGAGACTTCCTCTCACTTCCTGAATCTGTGACACCGCTGTGGAGACTTCCCCTCACTTCCTGACTTTGTGACACCACTGCAGAGGTTTCCTCTCACTTCCTGAGTCTATGAGTTCGCTGCAGAGACTTCCCCCTCACTTCCTGAATCCCACTGCATAGACTTACTCCTCACTTCCTGAGTCTGTTACCCCACTGCAGAGACATCCCCTCACTTCCTGACTCTTCCTGCACTAGTCAGATTTCCCAGCGAGTTCAAAGACACATGATCAGGGGGACACTGAATGGCCAATGTGACCAGGGTGAGTATCACATGATCAGGGGGACACTTCATCGGGCAATGTGGCCAGGGTGAGCATCACATGATCAAGGGGACACTGAATGGCCAATGTGACCAGGGTGAGTATCACATGATCAGGGGGACACTGTATGGCCAATGTGACCAGGGTGAGTATCACATGATCAGGGGGACACTGTATGGCCAATGTGACCAGGGTGAGTATCACATGATCAGGGGGACACTGTATGGCCAATGTGACCAGGGTGAGTATCACATGATCAGGGGGACACTGTATGGCCAATGTGACCAGGGTGAGTATCACATGATCAGGGGGACACTGAATGGCCAATGTGACCAGGGTGAGTATCACCTGATCAGGGGGACACTTCATTGGGCAATGTGGCCAGGGTGAGTATCACATGATCAGGGGAACACTGAATGGACAATGTGACCGGGGTGAGTTTCACATGATCAGGGGGACACTGAATGGACAATGTGACCGGGGTGAGTATCACATGATCAGGGGGACACTGTTTGGCCAATGTGACCGGGGTGAGTATCGCAGTGCTCGTTTAGTCTAGGGGGCTCTAATGAAGCAGTTTTAGACCGGTACCCGCAGCCCCTTCGTATCTCCCCTGGTGGTCTGAGGACCACTTATGTCATCACAATATATTGTTCCCATAACATTTTCCTGAACCTGGCGTTGGCATGCAAGCGCCGGCCATTGCCACTGAACCAATAATAAGACATGGAGTCATCTTCATGACAGGGAAGTGTTGGTGTCGAGTGGCAGTATATCATTGTATCACGTCTATTCTCCTTTTACCGACAGGCTGCGTCGCCTCCTGCGTGGAACGAAATGGTCCGGTCGTGCTCCGCTGCCAATTGTGTCAACCGCCAGACAGCGCTAACTAAACGCAAAGGGATCACATTCCACAGGTAGGCGCCTCGGCCTGATCTATAGCCGTGCCATCGCGCTCTGCTCATTACCGTATTATGGGCCTGATGTGTGTCAAATTAGACTTTCATTGTTGCTCATAGCAACCAGTAGGACTCTTCTTCCTGTCCAAATCTTAAAGCAGAACTCCGAGAATAATTATTCTTAACCCTTGGCAGTGAGGCTACCCCCCGGCACAGCAAGGGTTAAGTGCATTCACCGAGAATGAAACACGAGGGTGAATCCAACATTTTTAGTTGCCACGAGAACAGGGATAGAAGGGAAAAACTTCCAATAGGGACACTTGTCTAAGAGGGGGTTTCCTTCACATTGGAAAGATGTCCTCTCACTTCCTGTTCAGTCTACAGGACAGGAAGCGAAGGGAATTCTCCCTAATGTTACACAGATGGGGGGGGGAGGGGGGGCGTACAGCACTTTTTCTCTCCCCTACTTTATACAAAATGATTTAAAAAAAATTGCTAAAGATATACTTGTAAATGTCAAATATATACATGCCAGGTCTACAGGCTGTGTGTCAGGTCTGTGCAAATTTTAGGACTGGATGGACGGAAATAAAAGTCATACTGCAGGTCACACGGCTTCCATATCTGTATGTAACTGTTTGCCCGGAGCTCAGCGTTAAACGTTCATTTGTACTGAAACGGAAATCTTTTATTTTATAGCTCTGTGACAGTTTTAGTTTGTTCTTCCTCCCGTGTCACAGTATTAGTTTATTGTTCTTCCTCCCGTGTCACAGTATTAGTTTATTGTTCTTCCTCCCGTGTCACTGTTTTAGTTTGTACTTCCTCTGGTGTCACAGTATTAGTCTGTTCTTCCTCCGGTGTCACAGTATTAGTCTGTTCTTCCTCCGGTGTCACAGTATTAGTCTGTTCTTCCTCCGGTGTCACAGTATTAGCTTGTGCTTCCTCCGGTGTCACAGTATTAGTCTGTTCTTCCTCTGGTGTCACACTTTTAGCTTGTGCTTCCTCCGGTGTCACAGGAAGAACAGACTAATACTCTCAGCAGTTTTATTTTGTTCTTCCTCCCGTGTCACAGTTTTTTTTTGTTCTTCCTCCCGTGTCACAGTTTTATTTTGTTCTTCCTCCCGTGTCACAGTTTTAGTTTGTACTTCCTCCCGTGTCACAGTTTTAGTTTGTTTTTCCTCCCGTGTCACAGTTTTAGTTTGTTCTTCCTCCCGTGTCACAGTTTTAGTTTGTACTTCCTCCCGTGTCACAGTTATAACTCTGTTTTTCCTCCTTTCCTTCGGCTAGGTTTCCCAAGGAAGAGTCTCGGAGGGAGCTGTGGGTGAATGCCGTGTCTCAGTCCCACTCTGAGGTCGGTAGTGAATGGACTCCGTCTGTCCACAGCTCTCTGTGCTCTCAACACTTCCACGATAAACAGTTCGATCGGACCGGGCAGACGGTGCGGCTCAGGGACTCTGCGGTCCCCATGATATTTTCCACATTCAGCTTCTCAAAGGTAAACACATCATACCGTGGATGAATATCTTGGATTGGCTTATGCTGACCGTACAATCATTTCATTCAGAAAATATTTTCTGTCAAACAGTTTCTGAATGGGGAGGAGCCTCTGTACAGAGTGCTACTACCCATTGAGAAACTCATGAATGAACAGGAAGTGATGTCAAGCACTTCCCCCCTGTTCATTCATAACTGGGGACACATAGTTTTATGTGTCCCCAGTTATTTACAAACACTGGAGTGGTTAGCTGATCACTCCAGTGTTTTGCTCTGCACAGAGGATCGGAACATATCACTGGTATGTACGGATCCTCCGCCGCTTGTGGTCACGCTTAGAGAACAACCTGCAGCTTCCGAGCGGTGAGGAGAGAGAGAGCCCCCGGCTGCCAGATCCTGGCCGAGCGGCTCTCTCTCTCCTCAATGCTTTGCCATGCTGCTGTGACAGTGGCTCACTCCACTGCAGCGCTTCACTTCTCTTCGGATCCCCGATGCCTCTGCCCAGGAAAAGTGCTGAGACCTGGCTGCGCCCCTACCCAGCCAGCTTCCTGTGTATCCTAGATAAGTATGCACATAGGGAGTAACATTGCCCTACAGCGCCATCTACAGATCAGTATATGCTGTTGTATTTCCAACAAAGGGAAGGATCACATCAGGAATCAGTTAGGCTGGGTTCACACCTAGGCGTATCGAATATGCACGTTTCTACCGGCTATCCGGCTAAAAAAAATGCGCGTTTCCGAGGGCTATCCGGCTGTATCCCAATGGATACGCGCGGCAAATACACCCCAAAGAAGCTCCTGTACTTCTTTCGGCGCAGGGCGTTTTGCAGCGCGTTCCTACGCGCTTATAAAACGCCCAGGTGTGAACCAGGCCTAACTCTCTACTGCATTTGTATGTAAAGCCAAAACCTTTTTTTTTTTTTTCCATTTCAAGTACAGCAGGGAGAGTTCCCTTCACTTCCTGTCCCACAGACACAACAGGAAGTAAGAGGGAATTTCTTAAAAATGAGTGGAAAGAATGGACATAAGGACATGTGACACTTCTCCAAATTGTCTGCTTTGCTTGTTTGTTCACAGTGAGTGTCTCCAAGTATCAAAGACTCAATGTTTAGGCCTTGTTCACACTAGACACTGGCCATTGAAGTAAATCGCACCGTAGCCACGCCCTTCGGCCAAAATGCGATCGGCCGCACGGGAACGCAAGGCACTTTATGCCTGCGGTCCGGTCCGAACAAAATAGTGCTTGCCGCATTTTGTTCGTACCGGCCCGCAGGCATAATGTGCGATAGCATTGCGGCTGGAGGGCGTGGCTACGGTGCCATTCACTTCACTGGACCGCCACGCCCCCTCCTGCCCCACAACATAGTGAGCCGGCCGCAATGTGATGCAGTGCGTTCTGGCCAGAATCGGGCCGGAACGCACTGTCTCTAGAGTGAACGAGGCCTTGGCTAAATCCAATAACAAAAATGGAATATATTGCAGCTTACCGGTCCTGAGGTGTGATGGCCGCAGTCATTTTGGGGGTGTTTTTTTTACCATTTTCAACACTCGCCATCTCTACTGTATTTATGGAGGAGCAGTGTTGTCACCCAAGCACAAGAAACGTGTTAGGTCTTAGACGTACACAACAACCCACTTTTCTTCAACTTCATAACATGGAAGGGGGGTGTTCTGTAGTTCACAGAGGTAACCTGGGCAGGAAGATGAGACTGAAGCATGCACGGGAAGTTACAAGCTCGCTGTATATCTGGCAGGATCAACATATATTTTTGGCACTCAAACAAATATAAGAGCACTTTCAATGGCCAGTCGGCTAGCTTTTTTTTTAGATGGAGGTCAGCAAAGGCTCTCTCAGGCTTTTATAGCATGACTGCGCCACAACAACCACTTGTATAGCACAGGCCTTATCCTCCTTGAGTATTGGTTCAGCCATGTTTTGTAATGTCCTCGGTTCCTGGCGATTTGATAGGCTAACTCTTCCATTTGCTTCGGATTGTAGATGCCAAGACACTGCTCAGCCCTCGGCTGCACCGCTCGGGATTCTCGGCTGACCCGGGAGAACAACATCTCATTTCACAGGTCAGCTCGGTTTCCTTCTCTTTAAAAGGACCTGTAGATCTGCTCAACCTTAATTCCTACACTATAGACCTTTGACACCTTCTCACATGTCCTTTCTGACCCACAAGATATACATCATATTCGGTATTGAACATTCTGATAGTATTCATGCTCTAAGACCATACTGTGACTGTCCCTTGGTTTTGTTCTCTGTTCCTGTTATGGATACTCTGTAGTTCTGTGATACTTCACACCCTCCTAATACATCCAGAATCTGTTATGTAGATACTTTCACATAGTTTGCAGTTGTAAGTGATTACACATTCCTGCGTAACTGGCTTTTATACATGTTACTTATGCCACTGTGTTCACATTTATGACCTATACTTTATGGATGTAACAAGTTGTAACCTTGTATTGTATTAGTGAAAAAATTTCAATAAAAAAATGATATGCTTAAAAAAAAAAAAAAAAAAAAGGACCTGTACTGTACAAGCTGTGCACAAAAAGGAACGCGGAGGTCAAAGGGCGAATTGGCAGTATGGCCTGTGGCCTCCCTGCAGCTGATCTTTTCCCTGTTATTAACTTACCATGCCTTGATATGCTCTAGGTGGAGGACAGCATCTCAGTGGAGGTAGGGTCTTGCATCCTTATGTCAGAGCTGACGTGATTGGTGGGCTAATGATGGGGAAGCAGCAACAGTGGTGGAGGAAGCACAGGCACACTGACTGGAGGAAGCAGGGACACCCTTGCATGGCAGGTCCTCAGTTGCAACTTCCTCTCCAGCAAGAAGAACAGTGAGCAGCTCCGTAATGACATCACCAAATCTGGTGAAACTAGTAACACGGGTCAGCAGTGCCTTAGATGATCTCACACTGCATATATTACAGTCATGGCCAAAAAGATTGGCACCCCTGCATTTCTGTCAGATAACGCACCACTTCGCGCAGAAAAGTGTTGGATTTACAAATGTTTCGGCGTTCTCATGTTTGTTTCTTTTGTTTGTATTGGTATGAAACATAAAGCGGAGAGAAAAAAAGCCAAATCTGACACATTCCACGCTAAACTCCAAAAACGGAGTGGACAATATTTGTGGCCACGACTGTGTATACAGCAATGAGACTAGAGTGCCCAGGCACAGTCACGTGTCAAGAAGCCCACTACAATTTTTTAGGAGGCGTTCAGGGCAAGTGTTGGATTTTTCAGAGCATGACAAAATGAAACTTTATATCAGACATCTCAACTCTCCTGGATGTTCCGGGAGTCTCCCGATATTAGATAGCGGCTCCTGGACACCCGAGAGAGAAACATTTTCTCCCGGATAGGTTTACTCTGCTCTATCTAGCAGAGTAAACCTTTCTCTGCTTTGTTTTGCTTTCGAGTTGGGGGCCGCGGGCTGCCGTCAGTCAGAAAAAAAAAAAAAAAGGCATAGGAACGAATAGCTAGATTGCTATTGGTTATTGCAAATTGTAATAGCCAATAGCAGACTAGCTGTTGCACCCGCCCACTGCTGCTGTCAATCAGCAGAGGTGAACCTGAAGTTCTCCATCAGGTCCTCCTTTACTGACTGACAGCAGCAGAGGGCGGTGCAATAGCCAGCTTGCTTTTGGCTATTGCAAATTGAAATAGCCAATGGCAATCTAGCTATTCGTTCCTATGCCTTTTTAAAAAAACAATTTCATTCTGACTGCAGCAGCCGGCGGAACCGGCGGGAAATTTAAAAGTAAAGTTTAGCAGTAGATATATGCAAAAAAAATGTGAGGGTTTAATAACACTTTAAACAGCCAAAAGAATTTCCTTCAATACATAAGCATACACCCAGGGGCGTCCCGAGGCTGGGTGACACCCGTAGCGGTAACCGAGTGTCACCCCGCGGCAGTATTCTGGTACTGCCGCGCGAGAGGAGGGGGACAGTCACCCGGCGGAATAAGGTATGCCGCCGGGTCCCCTCCTCTTTCCTGATACTGTCGGGCGTTCGGTCCACGACTGAGCGCCTGACTTTTCAGAGGGGGATGAAACCAAAATGACTAAGTCATTTTGGCGTCACCCCTCCAATGGTGTCACCCAGGTGCGGGCCGCACCCCCCTTGTGACGCCACTGCATACACCTTCAATATACCGCTAATATATCTATTTCAATCATAATTTACAACAATGCTTTCCCCATGTAAAATGAAGGGTTGCGGGTGACGTTATGCTTAACACAAACAGCTTGGCAATGGCGGCTCTTCTATTCCTATCCTGACAGGTCCCCTTGAAATACATGGCACATAAACAGTACTGACTCATAATCGGCATAATCAGATACTCATTTCTCTTTACTAATAGGTTACCGAGAAAAGAGGACCCTCGGCGAAACCTGTGGATTGCAAACTGCAGAAGGACGGACCCGAGCGGTAATGGGCTTTGGGACCCCTCTTCGGATTACGTGTATTTCTGCTCCAGGCACTTCGAGAAGAGCTGTTTTGAAGTGACAGGAATAAGGTATATTTATGTGTAAGGCATATGTATTGTTTTATAATGGAATGGTGTATCAGATCTGGTCCCAAATTATTTATGTTTTACAAAGCAATAATAATCGAGTAGACTGGATTCAGACCATGTTAGTATTCATAGACCTACCTGGAATAAATTGGGTTTGGTTGGAATTGACAAGAGTAGAAATCATCAAGTTGAAACGTCTAGCCAGTATTTTAGGTAGGATTTGACATTTGTATTGATTAGTGAAATCGGTCGATCGGATCAATAGGAACAATTTTTGAGTTAACTCCCAGGACATTCCAGATTGTGTTACTTGATAGGGGTGTAGAGGAACAATATTAAAATATGCATCATACCTGAAATCCCAGACCTGAAGAGGAATAAATGTAGCCAATAACACTAAGCAATGTGATTGAGGTTAAAACATGATGGTGAGAGAAGCACATGTCTATAATATTGCCCGGAACAAACAATACAGTAATGGAGCAATTTCCCAACCTCCCCTTCCTGGCCCACCGACCCAACTTGCTGTAAGCTTTGTATCAGAACCAAAATCTAATGAGCGGAAACATGCCCGGGCTTACCTCAAGGAACTTGTGTCCATAGAATGTTGGAAGTATGAAATCAAGTCGTCTATTGCCATCATGTGGTGAATCTGTGTGAGACGGGCAACTATACACTATGAACCATACACCCGCTATAAGGAATGTGACTGCACATCACAACTATACACTATGAACCATACACCCCCTATAGGGAATGTGACTGCACATCACAACTATACACTATGAACCATACACCCGCTATAGGGACTGGTACAATATGAACCCTACACCCGCTATAAGGAATGTGACTGCACATCACAACTACCGTATATACTCGAGTATAAGCCGAGATTTTCAGCATGCTATAGGGAATGTGACTGCACATCACAATTGGTACAATATGAACCATACACCCGCTATAGGGAATGTGACTGCACATCACAACTGGTACACTATGAACCATACACCCGCTATAGGGAATGTGACTGCACATCACAACTATACACTATGAACCATACACCCGCTATAGGGACTGGTACAACTAGTACACTATGAACCATACACCCGCTATAGGCAATGCGACTGCACATCACAACCGTTACAATATGAACCATACACCCGCTATAGGGAATGTGACTGCACATCACAACTGGTACAGTATGAACCATACACCCGCTATAGGGAATGTGACTGCACATCACAACTGGTACACTATGAACCATACACCCGCTATAGGGAATGTGACTGCACATCACAATTGGTACACTATGAGCCATACACCCGCTATAGGGAATGTGACTGCACATCACAATTGGCACACTATGAGCCATACACCCGCTATAGGGAATGTGACTGCACATCACAACTGGTACACTATGAACCATACACCCGCTATAGGGAATGTGACTGCACATCACAACTATACAGTATGAACCATACACCCGCTATAGGGAATGTGACTGCAAATTACAACTGGTACACTATGAACCATACACCCGCTATAGGGAATGTGACTGCACATTACAACCGGTACACTACGAACCATACACCCGCTATAGGGAATGTGACTGCACATCACAATTGGCACACTATGAGCCATACACCCGCTATAGGGAATGTGACTGCACATCACAACTGGTACACTATGAACCATACACCCGCTATAGGGAATGTGACTGCACATCACAATTGGCACACTATGAGAAGCAGATAATGTTCACATCAGCTTATACTAGTCATAACACAGGAGTATAGGGAGGAGGCATGGTGGCAAATATGAAGACTTCCAGGATACCCCAGGTGAAGTCGCTCTGCAAAGGGTCCTGCAGGATGCCTAAATGATCCATTTAGGAAAAGTGAGAGAACAAAGAGCTTATTCACAGTGTCGCATAGGTCTGAACCATTAGGTCGCGGGACCACGCGATCGTGTGCTAGTGCACACAGCGGTTGCCGTGCAGTCCCATTAAATTCAATGGGGTTACATCCACGCGGCAATCGCTATAAAAAGGTACAAGTACACACGACAAAATACATAAAATGGACCCAAACAATTATCATTTTCCGTTAGATATTCAAGCTGTACTTTATCTGAGCTGGTTGTTGTTTGTTTGTCCAGTGGCTATCATCGTCTGAAGGAAGACGCCATCCCGACAATATTTACAGCATCTACAAAACCTCAGAGAGTAACCAAAGCCAAGACCCAAAAGAAGAAAACAACCAAGGCAAAAGTAAAAAGGAAATTGTGAGTATGCGCCCTTCACCTGAAGCGATCCATCTGTAATATCAATTCACTTGCAGATATTTCTCATTCTGTACAATAGAGTTGCTTACAAAATGTGGCCAGCCTTACAGCAAGCTGCTGATTTACTTTGCATGGACAATGCACATGTTTGTTTTAAAGTAGTATTAAGGTCTGGGTGGTTTTAAACTTAAAGGAGAACTATGAGGTTAAGGCTTTTCCCCATAGTTCTCCTTAAGGGTAACGGGAGGACACAAACTAGCGGGAGTACTATGGGAGTACGTCACCGTACGCTCACACGAGATGCAACTGGCTTTTCTATCAAAAGTGTAAGACTTTGCACACCTTTTTGTTTTCATTTACCTGGAATCCATTAAAGGAGAACTATGAGGTGAGTGAAAATCATTCAGCCTCATAGTTAGAGCCGACGTGTGACAATGAAACTGTCACACGTCGGCTCAATAGATCGGGAAGTGAGCGAACACATACCGTCGCTCGCTCACTTCTCGATCATCTCCCTGCAGAGAGCGGTGACCGTCGGTCACTGCTCCCCGCAGCAATTCCCCTCTCCGATCCTCCAGCGCTGACTGGAGGAACGGACGGGGGAGGGGGCGGGTACAGCTGGCTCTGCCTCTAGATAGGCAGAACCAGCTGTCACTCACGCAGCTGGGTGGATCTCGACAGTATTGTCGGGATCCGGCTGCGGCGGTCTCAGTATACCGTGAGCTGTAGCGCGCGATATACTGAGCTTTGGGTCACGGGAGGACGCTAGTATATGTCCTCCCGTGACCCTTAGGAGAACTATGGGGAAAAACAGTTACCCCGTAGTTCTCTTTTAAGCTTCTCTACACTGAAAGTTCATTAGGCCGTCAGGGGCCCATGGCTTTGTAAATGAAGTCTGCTAATATTTTGCATTATTGTATTTACAGAGATTTTTTGACAAGTGACCGCACAGCCCCCTGCGAAAGTGCTGATCCTTCCAGGAACCCGTGTTTTGATGCTAGGAGGTACGACAGCGTTCCAGCACCGCATCTGATGAACTTTCACGGACTGTGCCCTGAAAACATCGATATCCCGGCAGATGCCGCCCCAGCCGAAGGAGCTCTGGCGACCGCTGCAGCCCACCAGATGCACCCAGAGGCCACGCTGGAAGACATTGGGGTGGGAACTGTAATCAGCGGACCGCTCTCAGACTTAGAATTGTCTCACGTGCAGGCAGAGATGTCCTCTGAGATATGCGTGAGCACGGAGCCGGGAGCAGTGAGAGAACAGCCGCGGCCAGTGTCTCCTTCAGCCTACATGATGCGCATCCCCCAGCCGCCGGGGGCCTACATTCAGAACGAGCACAGCTACCATGTGGGGAATGCACTGCTTTGGAAGAAGAGGGCAGAAGCCGCGCTGGAGGCACTCACCAAAGTCCAGAGACAGCTGGAAGCGTGCAGACGGCGAGAGCAGCGGCTTCGCCTCCGCATCTCCGCGTTACAGCAGGAACACATGCGGGAAAGGCGCGCGCAATCAGACGTCCGAGAGAAGCTGAAGGAGCATCTGGAAGTGTTTGAGCTTCAGCTTATCAATGACTTTGTGTAATGCCCTGCCGGGCCGGCTAAGAGTATGTGCATTTGGACGTTTTTACGCCTTTATACAGAACAGGAATAAACATTGGTAGGAAGAGGGGTTACTCTGTTTCAGTTTACATTCGGGGAGTGTAAGTCTAGCCAAAATGTTCATTGGGGAAGGTTTAACCCCCCCCCCCCCCTTCCCCTTTAGGTTTTACTGCTATCCAGAGAGATGTAGCCTCACCCAGTGTCACAGAGGCAACAGTTTTACTAGACAGGAAATGAGGAAAAATGTACAAGGACTCGGACTACAATAAAAAGCTGCAAAGAAAAGAAGAAGAGCGCCACAGCAAATGTATATGAGTGTATTTATTTCATGACAGAAGTCTAAAGGTAGCAATCCAACACGTTTCGGTTGCTGTAGGGTTCTCCCTTCATCAGGGCTTGGGTTGCTGGTTTAGTTGGGCTCAGGGGTTAAATCGACTCTGGAATCAATTTGCTTCTTGAATTGAAAAGCCCGCTTCACCAAATGAGCTCTCTCCAAAGCAGCTGCTGAAACATGTGCTGATTTATTCCAGGGTTGATTTATCCCCCCATTACTAATAAGAGTCCACCTAAACCAGCAGCCTGATCCCTGACAAAGGCAGAGCTTAAAGTGACATTAAACCCTCAGATTTTTTTTAACATAAAACAATACTGTAACGTGCGCCTTACTGTAATCCATGGTTGTTTCCCTTCTCTTTGCTGCTCTTCCTTTTTAAATCCTCATGTCTTCTCATGCTTGGGGAGAACTTCCCTTTGCAGCTGACTGCCTCTTCCTGTAGTGCTGGCTCAGGTTGTGAACCTACACACAGACACCATGTATCCATTCCTGAGACAAGGCAGTCTGCTGCAAAACAGAAGTTCTCCCCAGCATGAGAACAGATAGGGATTTAAAAGGAAGAGCAGCAAAGAGAAGGGAAACAACCATGGATTACAGTAAGGCGCACATTACAGTATGGTTTTATGTAAAAAAATCTGAGGGTTTAATGTCACTTTAATAGCACCCGAAGTGTGTTGGCTTGTCTTTGATGTCTTTGGACTTCTGTGATGAAATAAATATACTTGGACAGTTATACTTTTGGTGTGGTGCCCTTGTTCTCCTTGTGCCTTCCATTGTCCACTGGAAGTGGCTTTGAGGCTCTTTGTTTAAGGATGTACATACACTGTGCCAATTCCGGATGGTTTTAGAGGGACCGGCTGAAATTCGCACAGTGTGTGGCCGCAGTCGGCACCCTTTCGGTCGGCATCCCTCGATCAGCTGATCAAAGGAGCCACCCAGAAAATCTTCCTAGGATCAGAGCCGGCAGCCAATGAGCTGGGGCCGCTGTCGGAATACAGTGCAAACAGCGGGAATCCTCCATCGGGACTCGCAGTGTCTTTTTTTTTTTCCGTTCAGCCCGCGGGTTGAATGAGAAACGTAGATCAGTGTATGGCCAACCTTAGGGAGCTGTCTAGCCAGAGTCATCGTACTTCAAAGTATGGACTTCCCTTCACCAGGAGGAACTAAATTCATTTTGGATTCAGAGCCTCCCACCTACATTATCGGAGGAAAAGAAAAGCTGAGGTCAGTTCTAGCCTCCCCTGGCTCAAGTTCAAAACATTTTAAAGAAGAACTCCGAGAAAGCAATAAAAAGTCCCCTTGCAGTGGGACCACGCCCGTTCTGCAAGGGTTAAATGCTGGTTTTGTCTAGGGGGCGCTATTATAGCTGTTTTACTTACCTGATCCTCAGTCCCACGAGGGGCCGAGCCTCCTTACCGAACTGGTCCTCGCAGCCTCCTCTCTCCTTCGCTCTGGCGGTACAAGGGCCGCTTCCGTCATTACGTCTTATGCAGGTCCATTGACTTGCGTTGGGCGCGAGGATGCCGAGGGACTTTCCAAAATCAGGGGCTGAGGGGGGAGAGAGGTGATCGCTAACTGCAGCAAGAGGGGGGAACCAGTAAGTAAAAGAGCTGAGTCCCCTAGGCAAAATGAGCACTTAACCCTTACAGTGCCGGGGTAGTAGCCCCACTACAAAGGTAAGTCTCTTGTTTGCCCCGAGTTCTTCTTTAAAGGGCAATTCCACTTTCCCAGATGAATTTGAGGAAATGGATATACTCCCTCCAATCTGCCCCCCCAATTTGGCCCCCTCTCCCCCCTGGCTATACTTACCTCTTTGGGCGAATGCTCCTTCCCCTCCGCCAATGCTCGTCTTTTATCTGTACGCAGTACATGGCAACGCAGCCCTGCGATCTGTATTTTGAATTTCGCCTGACCAAGAAATTCAAAATACAGATCGCAGGGCTGCGCTGCCATGTACTGCGTACAGATAAAAGACGAGCATTGGCGGAGGGGAAGGAGCATTCACCCAAAGGTAAGTATAGCAAGGGGGGTGGGGGGGAGCCAGATTGGAGGGGGTACTTCCATTTCCCTAAATTCACCTGGGAAAGTGGAATTCCTCTTTACAGGAGAACTATGAGGTGAGTGCTTTTCATTCACCTCATAGTTCTAGCCGACCTGTGACAATGAGACTGTCACAGGTCGGCTCAGTAGAAGACAAAAACGAGAGGGGCGCCTTTTCCTAGTGCAGATAAATTTTATTTTTCAATTAACAGTGGAACAAAATCAATCAAATGAATACTCACAAGAGTGGAAGATCACAAGCATTTAGGCACAATGTAAAGGCAAAAGCCGGACTGATGCAGTGGCAGTCTGTCAGATGTATCCTATGTGCAGATCAGTCTACCAACGTGTCGACGCGTTTCCGGGGCACGCCCCCTTCGTCAGGACATATACCGGCGTTCGCTCACCTCTCGATCCTGTCATGGCTCTCTGCCGTGACAGGGGAGGGACTGGATTCCCCGCTCCGATCCTCCAGCGCTGACTGGCGGAACGGATGGGGGAGGGTACAGCTGGCTCTGCCTCTAGATGGGCAGAGCCAGCTGTCAGTCACGCAGCTGCGCGATCCCGGCACAATTATCGGGATCCGCTTCAGCTGCGGCGTCTCAGTATACCGCGAGCTGTAGCTCCCTATATACTGAGCCTAGGGTGACGGGAGGACGCTAGTTTGTGTCCTCCCGTTACCCTAAGGAGAACTATGGGGAAAAGCCCTGACCCCATAGTTCTCCTTTGAGTTGCTGTTGAAGATTTCCCCTCACTTCCTGTCTGGTGAAACCATTGTCTGGCAGGGGTTCTAGGTCTTCCCCACCCTATCCAAAACTAGAAAAATAAGTTTTGCCTGGACGTACACTTTAAGTTATTAGTCTTCACACGTTTTTAATCCGCACCGTATTTCATGTGCGTTCATTCTCTTTCCAGTTGACGTTCTTTACCGGTCGTTGCACATAACTGAAAAAATCTGGATTACAAACTGAACTGGAATAAAACCAAGTTCTCCCATTCCCCGATAACCAAAAAAGAGGGACGCCATCGGGTGAAAACTGTTATTAGTTTTAGATTTAAAACCCAAACAGGAATGCAAAGGAAAGAAATACCGCCAATGGCTTTATGGCCGGACAGAACATTAAAGGAGGCCGGCACGGCACACAATTTCCTTCCTGTATCTTAGAGGGATTAGAAATGGATCCTAGACTGAAAGAAAGGAAGTCTTTGAGCATTGAACTGACCGGACTGACAAAGATTAGACAGGAGAATTTGGTCATTGAATATCTCCACGTGCAAACTCTTTGCTGAACTGAAGGACGCCTCACAGCCTGAGTGTGGGGAAGCTCACTCCTACCGCCATTCCCGTGCAGATATGACGACCTCCACTCTTCTGAGAAGGCTTCTTGCCAGATTTTGGAGTGTGTCTGTGGGAATTTGGGACCATTCAGGCAAAAGAGCATTTGTGAGATCAGGTACTGATGTTGAACGATAAGACCTGGCTTGCAGTCGGGATTCCATTTCAGGTGTTCGGTAGGGTTGAGGTCGGGGCTCTGTGACGGCCACTCAAGTTCCTTCACACCAAAATCATCAAAACGTGTCTTTATGGACATGCTGGAGTGGAAAAAGGCCTTCACCGAACTGTTACTACAAGTCTTCTAAAATGTCTTTGTATGCTGGGCTCTTCCCTCGGAACACCTGAACTCAATCCTTTGGTGGGGTGTCCACATTTTTTTTGGTCCATATAGTAGGTATCGTGGTCTGGTGTACCCAAACATTTGGTCATGTACAGCACGAGGTGATGCAGCAGTCATTGGTTCACTGGCGAGTTTTCATGCGAACATTGCCCTACGGCGGCCCGGCAGTGGCTGTTCAATCCTAGACTCCATCTCTGACTGCAAGGTGAGAGGTCCATTCCAAGCCGAGAGGTCAAGTCTCAAGAAAATGTTGGCCCCTATGATGACTGCACTATACCTGGCAAGGCCATGTGGCCACAAGAAATGCCTGAAAACTGTTACTCTGAAACAAAGTTGTTTTATTTGACAAAAAAAAGTTTCTAGTAATGTTCTTACATGTGCACATGTGCGTGTGAAAGTGTCTGCACCGGGAATCGGGTTATTTAAAGGGAACCTGTGTGAATAGAAAAATGGAAGCTATTGACTAGGGAAGCACCGATACCAGTTCTTCGGTATTGAGTACGAGTTCTGATATTTTTTTATTTTTCATACTCGCCGATGCTGATACGGGAAGTCCCATTAAGAAAACCGGGCAGCATGTAATGACTCGCCACCCTGCTTCCTGATTGGCTTCCCCGATTGGCCATAAAGCCGTCTCCATGCTCCCTCATCACCTGGTGACAAGGGAGCATGGAGCTGGCTTTATAGCCAATCAGGAAGCCGGGGGGGCGGGTAATGACTTGCTGCCTGGCTTTCTGATTGGCTAGCTTCCTGTCTAATCAGGAAGTTGGGCGGCGAGTCATTACCCGCCCAGTTTGCCGTGTAATGACTCGCCGCCTGGCTTCCTGATTGGCCAGCGTCCCGAAGAATTAGGAAGCTGGGCGCCGAGGCATTACATGCTGCCCGGCTTCCTGTTTGGCTGGGAAGCCAGCTCCATGCTCCCTGGTGACAAGGGAGCATGGAGCTGGCTTCCCAGCCAAACAGGAAGCCGGGCAGCATGTAATGCCTCGGCGCCCAAGTCCCATGAGGCATTGCACGCTTGTCATTCACAATACATTTACAATTATCCCCTGCTAATTCCCGGCTTCCTGATTGGCCAGGAAGCCAGGGGGCGAGTCATTACCTGCCCCCTGGCTTCCTAAATGGCCGGGAAGTCAGCTCCATGCTCCCTGGTGACGTGGGAGCATGGAGCTGGCTTCCCAGCCAATCAGGAAGTCGGGCACCGTGTAATGACCCGGCCTTCTGATACCGGAGGTTCCAGTATCTGGCCAGGCATCGGGAGCAAATACTCAGTATCAGCATCCCTACTATTGATCCATCCCTGTGATGGACAGCCTGAGTGACCAATAGTAAGGATGCAGGAAGGGGTGGGTCAGAGCCCCTCCTGCTGTGGTCAGAGTTTGCTTAAAGCAGGGGTGGGCAACTCTGGCTCCCCAGCTGTTGTGGAACTACAAGTCTCATGGGGCATTGCAAGACTTGACAGTTACAGGCATGGCTCCCAGAGGCACATTGGGATTTGCTGGAGTTGCCCTCCCCGACTTAAAGGATTAGTCCACCTTTACAGTAACATTGCTCATCACTTCCAAGGAACCCGGAACATTAATACAACAACATTGCTCAGACTGTGAAGAAGAAGCTTCTTATCAATGTCATACCTAAAGGCAGTGCATGGCCCCCCCAACCCTGTCCAAAAAAGTCCTAGGCATAAGTGCCCCCCCCCCTCCCCCAATCTAGATTGACGTTGGGGGCTCTCCTCCAGCACCACAGGAACAAGCTCAGCCACTGCAGTGAACAAGGGGTGAAGAAGTCCGCTACACATGCACAAGTTTTGAACAAAAAGAAAGTTCCGTCTCCAAAAATGATGAAATTCATCTGGGTAACGTGTCACATGACTGAGCGATTGTCAGACTGTCACAGCATGAAAAACGAATAAAGACCGCTCACTGCAGCTCTCTCTCTCCTTGTGCAGGGTGACTGGTCTTGTCTCCCCCTCCTCCTGTAATAAAGACCGGTCAATGCTGCTCTCTCCTTGTGCAGGGTGACTGGTCTGGTCTCCGCCCCCTCCTGTAATAAAGACCGGTTACTGCTGCTCTCTGTCTCCTTGTGCAGGGTGACTGGTCTTGTCTCCGCCCCCTCCTGTAATAAAGACCGGTCACTGCTGCTCTCTCTCCTTGTGGGGGGTGACTGGTCTTGGCAGCAGGTAAGTAGAAGTCCCATACAGAACACCCCTGGACCTAAACAAGAACTTAACCCTTTCACTGCAAGGACAGTCCCACTGCAAGGGGAGTTCAGCAACGGTGGTTTTCATGAGAGGTTTACTTTATGGCAGGGGGGGCAAACTCCGACACTCCAGCTGTTGTGGAGTAACAACTCCCAGCATCCATACTTTTGACCCATCCCTGTGAGGGACAGCCTCAGTGACCAATAGTAAGGATGCAGGAAGGGGTGGGTCAGAGCCCCTCCTGCTGTGGTCAGAGTTTGCTTAAAGCAGGGGTGGGCAACTCTGGCTCCCCAGCTGTTGTGGAACTACAAGTCCCATGAGGCATTGCAAGACATGACTTCCAGGGACACAAGGAGCCAGTCAGCTGTGCAGTAGTGCCAGGAGCATGCTGATAGGAGGAGATGGCAGAGTGACAGAGATATGAGCTCACCAGTCTGTTGGGCGATTCTCATTCTTCGAGTGTTCACCATCACAAATGGGATAATGATTGTATGTGTGGGAGAGGTCCGCGGATGGAACCCGCCGATGGTCGGACCGTGTCTGCAGAGCTGACCATCGTCCTATGGCGGCCCGCAAGAGTGTTGGAGGTCTGCTGTGTCCCGGCAGAGAATGATCGGCGGAATGTTCTGGACACGAATGATGTCACCGCTCCTGACGCGTTCACACCAGTGTAGCACGTAAACGCAGAAAATGCGCATTACACTTGTGGTTCCGTTCATCATCTATGGCGTCCTCAATGCGTCAAGAAAGATTCCCGTTTTTAGATGCGCAAAACCACGCGGCGCCCGAAGCTTCATGAGGGGCGGGGCCTCTGCGCAACACATGACAATCGCACATAATCGTATCGCGAATGGGGGCGCAACCTCTGCATGCTTCATGTCTTCCATTGTATGAGTGAACAGAGTCATTGATTATTGATAGGTGATTGGGATGAGCAGTGTTATAGATTATTGATAGGTGATTGGGATGAACAGTGTTATAGATTATTGATAGGTGATTGGGATGAACAGTGTTATAGATTATTGATAGGTGATTGGGATGAACGCAGTGTTATAGATTATTGATAGGTGATTGGGATGAACGCAGTGTTATAGATTATTGATAGGTGATTGGGATGAATGCAGTGTTATAGATTATTGATAGGTGATTGGGATGAATGCAGTGTCATAGATTATTGATAGGTGATTGGGATGAATGCAGTGTTATAGATTATTGATAGGTGATTGGGATGAATGCAGTGTCATAGATTATTGATAGGTGATTGGGTTGAACGTAGTGTTAGAGATTACACTGCACAACACAGTTTTTGCTTCTTGAACACTGTTGGGGGTTCCTTATAGATTTTTGGCTGTTGATCAGGAAAATCACATCACCAATTTGCCCATCACATACCGTTTCATTGAAATCTTCAGTTTTGTCATGTTTTTTTTCTGTCAAAAGCAAAAGCCGAATTGCTGGGTTCCAGACTGCAGGAATGGCGTTTGCTGTCACCAGGTAAGAAAAGTTCTGTTTTTTCGAAGCCACCAAGATGATATAACCAAATTCTTTGCACAAGTCTCTGTTTCTGTGTTGACATGGAATGATTGTTCTCTGCTTTGGGTTGTGGCCATCATATTATTGATAGGTGAGTGGGATGAACACAGTGTTATAGATTATTGATTAGTAATTGGGATGAACCGTATTGATAGGTGATTGGGATGAACACTGTGTCATTAATTATTGATAGATGAGTGGGATAAACACAGTGTTATAGGTTATTGAAAGGTGATTGGAATGAGCAGTGTTATAGATTATTGATAGGTGATTGGGATGAACAGTGTTATAGATCAATAATTGGGATGAACACAGTGTTATAGATTATTGAGTTGGATTAACTCGGTGTTATATATTGATAGGTTATTGATAGGTGATTGGGATGAGCAGTGTTATAGATTATTGATAGGTGATTGGGATGAACACAGTGTTATAGATTGATTGGTGAGTTGGATGAACTCAGTGTTATAGATTATTGATTGGGCTGAACACAGTGTTATAGATTATTAATTGGTGAGTTGGATGAACTCGGTGTTATATATTGATAGGTGATTGGGATGAACACAGTGTTATAGATTATTGATTGGATGAACTCAGTGTTATATATTGATAGGTGATTGGGGTGAACACAGTGTTATAGATTGATTGGGAACACAGTGAGTGGGATTCTCGCAGTCACAGCAGGAAATGGGCGCGCACCCTCCGGCTGAGGTGATGCGGTCGCTGTGGGACGCGGAGGGATTTGAAAATAGCGCCGGTGATGTGTCGAAAGTGCGAACTTATCGAGTTGTGGGCGATCAAAACTACGAACTTATCGAGTTGTGGGACCACATTACTTCCGGTTTCCTCACAACTACGAGGTTTTTACACAAAACATGTTGTGCACGAGCGCCATCCACGGCATTGCCCTATAGACATAGACCACAGCAATAAAGTAATAAAATGATGTAGGATGACAGTAAGCCAGCGCGTTCTTTATCTCAGGTGCCCCACTCAAGCGGCGGCCATATTGAGTGGGGCACCGGAGATAAAGAACGTGCTGGCTTACTGTCATCCTACATCATTTTATTACTTTATTGCTGCGGTCGAAGTGTATAGGGCAATGCCGTGGATGGCGCTCGTGCACAACATGTTTTGTGTGCAAACCTCGTAGTTCTGAGGAAACCGGAAGTCATGCGGTCCCACAACTCGATAAGTTCGCACTTTCGACACATCACCGGCTCCTCGGGTCCACTCAACTCGCACTTGGCGCCCTTGAAGCAGTTGGCCCTGCCCATTCCCTCCTCGTGACGTCATCACGCCGAGGGGGCACGCACTCTTTATTGATTGTTCCTCCGTTCGGGACTGCGGGGGCTTTTCTTTCCGCGCTGCTGTGTGTTTGTGAGAGCAGCTAGCAGTATCCATCCGCCAGCGGGAGAGCCGGGCTGAGGTGAAGGAGAGCCAGTCGCCGACCTACCGCCACCCGAGGAAGAGAGACATG